TGGGAGAATGACATATGGTCAGATGAAACCAAAATAGAACTGTTTGGTAGAAACACAACTCATCGTGTTTGGAGGAGAGAGAATGCTGAGTTGCATCCAAAGAACACCATACCTACTGTGAAGCATGGGGGTGGAAACATCATGCTTTGGGGCTGTTTCTCTGCAAAGGTTCTGGACCTTCCTGGTCCCATTATAGGCCACCTGCCATCCAAATGCACGGTGTGGCACTGTGGTTTCCTGAGAGTACTTTGCATATGTTATCAAAGCTACAAAGTAATTTGTGGTTATGTCAACATCACATGTGTACAAGATACATTTAGTCCTGATAAAGATACGTAATAAATTATAATAACAAAAACAGAATATGAGTCATTTCTTTTATATCAGGATTGCTAGGGCTGCTCTCCAGATGCAGTTCAGGTTATTGATTCATGTGACTATTCGTCATTTGCCTTTTCATCAGCACCAAATAGGATATGAGGGTAAAAGATCTTGATATTTCTAAATATCAAAAGAGAGAGAGAATAGGACATGTGCTCCCCCCACCCTCCATTTCCTGCAGATCGTCACTGGCAAACTGCCATTGCATTTCAGCACTGCTAACTGCACTTGTGTTCCTGCTGCCAGGTGGAGTGAGCTCCTGCCCGATGGGGTAGTTCTGGCAGAGTGGTTTAGGCAGCATTACAGAGGTACTAAGGTACACTATATTGCCAAAAGTATTGGGACACCTGCCTTTCCACACACATGAACTTTAAATGCATTAAAAAATGTGTAACTATTATTTTTTTTTTGTAAATGTGCCTGCGAAATATTGCAACCGAGATCAGTGGATTGCTACTTCTTCATACTAAGGTATGGACTTTCATTTAGAGAGATGGGGAAAGTCTCAATGGACTACGAGTGCGGTAATCTCCACACTTCTGTTGTAGTGAGAGCCAGGGCCATGGATAAGGGGGTACCACTGGTTCTCCTGTACAGGACCCAGACCAGCAGGGGGGCCCTGGCATCAGAGTGAATCAGATGTGAGCAGGGAGGGTGATCGGCCCAGCAGGGACAGGGATTAATTACTGGAACCAGGGGCGGACTGACCATTTGGAAACTCGGGCACTGCCCGAGGGCCCGGGGTCAGTAGGGGGCCCCATGAGATGCCCCTGGTACTTTTTTCATAGGCTTTTTTTTAGTTTGGGCAAGGACACAGGGGCCCCATGATCCCCTATTGCCCGGGGGCCCCATGAGTTGTCAGTCTGCCCCTGACTGGAACTGATCCCTTGTCTGCAGCACCCTCCCAGTGCATCATACATTTCCCCATGCTGCCCAAGCCCCCCTGTGTTCCCTCCCCCACACCCCTGCAGTGCTACCGGCTTCCATCCTCTCCTTCCCACCGGCAGATGCAAGAATGCAATAGGATCAATAGGATGGAGAGCGTGGGAAGGGTTCGTAAATATATCATATTTACCAGCCCCTTCCTTTCCTGAATGAACACAGTGGTGATCGGTAGAGAATAACTCACTGTGTTCATTCATAACTGAAGCATAATAAACTGTGTTTATTTGGGGGCCCTATTACATTGGCTGTACGGGGCCCCGTGGTTTCTAACAGCAGCCCTGGTGAGAGCTACAAGTCCATGTTGGTAGATGGGATTTGTAGTTTATTCACTGCGGTTACACAGATCCGACTTTGGAAGTGAAGTCACACGATTTCAAAGTTGGATGTCATTCCGACTTCAGGTGCAACTTGCAAGACATCTAACCTAGGTGTGTATGCAAGTCGCACCTGAAGTAGTGCATGCACTATTTTAGAAATCGGTGTGGCTCTGACCAAGTAGTAAATCAAAGACGAATTCTCCTGCGCTCTAGGACCCAGACGGGTGGCAAATAGATGGAACCAGACCTGGAAAAATCGTCCACCAATGCATATAGGGTTGTGCGGCTCCAAACAAGGCTGGGGAAGCCCGACCAATACTGCAGAATGAAATGAAAACGAGAAGCGCACCAACCTTGCGCATTACCTCAGTATCCAAAATTTATTAATTATAGAAATATACTCACAAACAGCGAATAAAATCAGGCATGTAAGTCCTCACAGGGACTTGAACATAACGCGAATCCCATCGAGGGGATGGATATTCAGTACAGCTGGCGCGTTTCGAAGGGTGTCCCTTCTTCATCAGAGGGACCAAGTCGTACCGATATGACCGCTTTAATTGCAGAGAAAGGATGAGACTTGCTGAGCAATTTGCAAGTTGCATGGCATGTCAAGTCGCACCCAGTGTGTCTTAGGCTACGTTCACACTAGCCTTGTGTGCAGGCGGCAGAGAGGCGTTTGGGAAGCGTTTTTACCGTTTCCCAAACGCCTCTGCCAATTCTGCACATTACAGCACATGGTGCTGTTCTAACGGGAGCGTTTGCGTCGCGTCGCGTTGCGTCGTGGCAAAACGGACGCCTCTGGACGAGTCAGGAGGCTTTGAAGCCTCCTCCTCTATGGTCTCCGCAAACGCCGGCCGGCGTTTTGCGGTCAGGGGGCGTTTGCGGAGCGGTAACACCACTCAATGCATTATAGGCGTTTGTGGGGCGTTATTAACGCCGCAAACGCCTAGCAACCGCCGCTAAACCGCGCATGCGGCGTTTGCGGAGCGTTAATAACGCTCCGCAAACGCCGGACCAACGCTTGCCAAAAGCTATAGGGGCGTTTGGCAAGCATTGGCAAAACAGCCTAGTGTGAACGAGCCCTTACAGACCTCTGGAAATGAATGGCCTGGCTGCACTGGCAGAGCCACACACAGCTGCGCAAAAATCAAAGCTGACAACTACCACTGGGAGAAAAATCGCCGCAACGGAACGCAGTTTGGGGATGGGGGTCAACTTGGTACCATGTTACACTCTAAACATGGAGTTAGCCTTTAAAATGGCCACACAGGTGATCTTTCAAAAGAAGGTTGTAAATGGTAATCTTCTCCCACTGCTTGTGTGGCCAATTGCTGCTCCACTTTATCGTCTTCTAAAGTCCTCTCTCTGTACACTTCCGGGAATGCCAACCTCCGGGACTCCCACTGTGCTCAGTGGTTCCTCCCGCCAACTTCCAGGTAACTGCGTCCTGTATTAACAGAAACAACAGTAGGTGGAGCCAGTGAGTGCAGCAGGGAACCCAAAAGATCGGCACTCCAGGAAGAGTTGGCTCCTAACGAAGACTTTATCAGATTATTTCTGAGCAATGTCAAGCAGCTCTAGATGATGCAATTTCCTCTCCGGTAACCTCTGGTTGACACTAGTGATGAGCCGAACACCCCCCTGTTCAGTTCGAACATTCAAACATAACGAAAGTTTGACTGCGAACTTTGAACAGAGGGGACAATTCACTAAATATCTAAGTATGCAGTAAGATGCCACACAGCGACTAAAAACATTCTTTATTGTTTCAGCTGTATGTAAAAAGAATTGCCAACATTGTCTGGTAATTAAAAATGTCCTATGGGTCTGGTATGGATTTTGAGGGGAACCCCCACGCCAATTTCTTTTTTCAAATGGAGTGGGGGTCACCCCTAAATCCATACCAGAACCTTATCTGAGCATAGACCCGGAAGGTCAGGAATAGGGGGGGGGGACAAGTGAGCATCCACCCCTCCTGAACCATACTAGGCCACATGATCTCAACATTGGGGGGTGCTTTGGGGCAGGGGGGCTCCCCTCAAAGCACCTTGCCCCATGTTGATAGGGACAAGGGCTCATCCACACAACCCTGGCTGGTGGTTGTGGGGGTCTGCAGGTGGGGGATTATTGGAATCTGGAAGCCCCCTTTAACAAGGGGGCCCCCAAATCCCAGCCTCCCCCTCTCTATGTGAATGAATATAGGGTACATGGTACTGCTACTCATTCACAAAAAAAAAGTGTAGTGTAAAAAATGATGGAAGACAGTCTTTGACAAGTCCTTTATTAAAAACAAAAATTTTAAAAATGTCCCTCGAAGTATCCCAATGTCAATCACAACACCCGCCACCACCGTTGACCCAAAAAAAGTAAAAAAACTATTTTTTGCTCATGACGCTGGCTCCCGTCATCTGACAGCTGCACTGGGATGATAGTTCTTAAATACTGTCATTATGTCACAAGGGGGCGGGGGTCATCATCATGCGCTGTGATTGGCCAAAGCATTGCACCTGACCTGTGGTCTGGTGCATTGCTTTGACCGAATCACAATGCACTGTCAGGGTTGTAGGGATCGGCAAGTGAACAGCCCGCCGAACGCACTTACCGTTCATGTGTTCGCTGAACATATAGCCCATCACTAGCTGACACAGCTCCATTCAAGAGAAACAATCCGATAAAGTCTTCCACAGAAGCCAACTCTTCCTGGAGTGCTGATCTTTTGGATTCCCCTGTGTTGATGGGGGAATATATCCCTCAGTGCTATTGTTAGGGATCCAGGTATGATCAGAAATGTGTGGACTGACACAGGAAGTAGCAGGCTTCAGGTACACTGGCATAGTCAGGCAGGCCAGGTCAGTAACGTGCGGGCAGTGAGGTATCGGAGGAGCAGGCAGAGAATGGTCAGGGTCACAAGCCGGGTTCAGTAACTCACGGGCAGCGCGGTAAAGAGGATCAGGTAGAAGTATGGTCAGGCAAGCCAGGGGTTCAACAGGAGACGGTCAGCAGAGGTCAGGATCAAAGCAGGGTCAGCAACAAGGCAGATAGGCAGGAACACAGGATACCAGGTACAGGGGCTCATGGGAAACATACACCAAGGCACTGATCACAGGCCTGGTCCTGCTTAAATACACCTCCTGCAATCAGCTTCAGCTGATGGCTGACTGCAGGAGTGAGCTTCTGGTTGCTGAGAGCACCCGCTGGTCAGCCCTGGTACTGCAGCCCACACAGCAGGTGAGTCCCACCACCCATGCCGAGTCCATTCCTGACAGCTATTGTGTTCTGACAGCGGGGAGCCTTCCCTGCTGGCAGAACACAATGATTACTATAGCCTCCGGCACAGGGGCAGACTGACAACTCATGGGGCCCCCAGGCAATAGGGGATCATGGGGCCCCTGTGTCCTTGCCCAAATTCAAAAAAGCCTATGAAAAAGGTACCAGGGGCATCTCATGGGGCCCCCTACTGACCCCAGGCCCTCGGGCAGTGCCCGAGTTTCCAAATGGTCAGTCCGCCCCTGCTCCGGCAGTAATCTCATGCAATAATTTCAACAGTCTGGTTGTACTGAAGCCGACTGATGGATCGACTTCAGTATGACAACCTCCCACTAGACTGAATGAATCTCAGACAGTCCCTGCAGAACCGGCTGAGATTTTATTCATCTATGGCCAACTTTAACCAGCATGCATAGCAGGAAAAAGTAAGCAATTATCATCTTTTCAGGGTATTCTCTGTTGTCTTTTTAACACTGACGGAGCACTTTAATTGCGCTGCTCGTATTTTCATGCCTACTCATTTACACTTGCCTAGATGAAGGAAATTTGTTTCTATTAAAAAAAATACTATAGAGAAATCTGTAAAGTTATCAAATAAACGAATAATATTCAATATAGTGTGTCTGTTTGTAGGCTCAAGCTTAGGAAATGCAATCTTATCTGGTGCCAAGCCTAAAAATGTAGAGTACTATTAGTTGCCAGCTCAGCTTTGCAACATCCTTTCTGGTGCCAAACAAAACAAATGATTTGTTTTTTGGCTCCAGATGCAGTATGCAGAGGCTTAAGCTGGCCATACACCAATAGAATTTCATTCGAACATTCATACGGAAGCTCTGAAAAATCACTCCTCAGAGCATTTGATCTTGCCATCATTTGGTCAACTAATTTCTTTCGAAAACTCTTAGAATTTCATCCAGAACTGCTCCTTGAATAGAATCTTAGATGTATTAACCCCTTCTGCTAACCGTATACATACACTATATTGCCAAAAGTATTGGTCGGCCTGCCTTTACACACACATGAACTTTAATGGCATCTCGGTCTTAGTCCGTAGGGTTCAATATTGAGTTGGCCCCGCCCTTTGCAGCTATAACAGCTTCAGCTCTTCTGGGAAGGCCGTCCACAAGGTTTAGGAGGGTGTCTATGGGAAGGTTGGACCATTCTTCCTGAAGAACATTTGTGAGGTCAGGCGCTGATGTCGGGGGAGAAGGCCTGGCTCGCAATCTCTGCTCTAATTCATCCCAAAGGTGTTCTGTTGGGGGTAGAGGTCAGGACTCTGTGCAGGCCAGTCAAGTTCCTCCCCCCACCTCATCCATGTCTTTATGGACCTTGCTTTGTGCACTGGTGCGCAGTCATGTTGGAACAGGAAGGGGCCATCCCCAAACTCTTCCCACAAAGTTGGGAGCATGAAATTGTCCAAAATGTCTTGGTATGCTGACACCTTAAGAGTTCCCTTCACTGGAACTAAGGGGCCAAGCCCACCCCCTGAAAAACAACCCAACACCATAATCCCCTCTCCACCAAACTTGGCACAATGCAGTCAGGCAAGCACCATTCTCTTGGCAACCACCAAACCCAGACACATCCATCGTATTAGCAGACAGAGAAGCGTGATTCGTCACTCCAGAGAACACGTCTCCACTGCTCTAGATTCCAGTGGCGGCTTGCTTTACACCACTGCATCTGACACTTTGCAACGTGTTTGGTGATGTAAGGCTTGGATGCAGCTGATTGGCCATGGAAACCCATTCCATGAAGCTCTCTACGCACTGTTGTTGTACTAATCTGAAGGCCACACCAAGTTTGGAGGTCTTTAGCTATTGTCTCTGCAGACAGTTGGCGACTTCTGCGAACTGTGTGCTTCAACATGCGCTGACCCCGCCCTGTCATGTGACGTGGCCTACCACTTGGTGGCTGAGTTGCTGTTGTTCCCAGTTGCTTTCACTTTGTTATAATCCCACTAACAGTTGAGCGTGGAATATTTAGTAGCCAGAAAATGTCACCGATGGACTTATTGCACAGGTGACCACCTATCACGGGACCACACTTGGAGTCACTGAGCTCCTGAGAGCGACCCATTCTTTCACCAATGTTTGTAGAAGCAGTCTGCATGCCTAGGGGATAATTGTATACACCTGTGTCCATGTAGGTGATTGAAACACCTGAATCCACTGATTTGGAGGGCTGGCCCAATGCTTTTGGCAATGTAGTGTATATGTAGCCTCATTAAAGTGGATTTTCTTCTGAGAGGCCACATATATGCATACCTGTGATGGTGCTGAGGGCATGCTGCAGACCACACTCCTAGACCGGACTCTCACCATGAGCTTCAAGCCTCGTACTAACAATTGGGAAATGTGATGTCCTGTTCCCGATCACCTGATTGCTGTGATGGGCTATCACAGTTAGCAGTCACTGTACACCCTGCCCCCGTCTCTGTTTTTTTCTCTTGAATGAAGAAAAAGACACATTGTATCTTTTTCTCCTTAATAGACGAGAAATATGTAAACAAACAAACAAACAAACGTATGTATACAAAAAATGTTATAAAAGGTATAAAAGAAAAAAGAAAAAAAAGAATAGCTACATCAGGATTTGATCTGGTTCAGTTTTAGGACTAGAGACAGGGTCAATGTCAGGGTCCAAGGTCAAGGTCAGCATAAAAAAAACAGGGAAAATGTATTTTAAGTACAATTAAAAAAAAGCATTTTCTAAATTAACATCTGTGTCAGTTAGTGTCAGTGTGTTTGTGAGTGTGTGAGGGAGCCTCATGTTCCCCTCTTCTCATTGGCTGAGACACGGCAGCAATACCCATTGGCTCCCACTGCTGTCAATCACAGCTAGTGAGGAGTGGGGGGCGGGTCTGAGTCACGGATCTTATGGATGCATAGAGTGGGGCTCAGGAGCAAGAACACACCAGTGCCCCCCATGCAAGTGTCTTGTTATTGGGGGCACTGGTAAAGGGGGTGCAGCTAGGAGTGCTGGCAGGGGACAAAACCACTGTACAGAGAAGGTAAGTATACCATATTTGTTATTGAAAAAAAAAAAAAGTATCACTTTAACTTTTAAGGGTTCATTCACACAGGTGCTGAGACACGTCCTCCATGCTGAGCTGCTTTTTTGCAAGGCGTGCATCCACTTCAGAGCTATGAGACAGCCCACAGATGTGGATGTGGACACGGGGCTGTGGGCAGGAGCGGGCTCATGGATTTAAACCCACAGAGTCTGCAGAGTAATATGACGGAGGCAAGGTGGTTCTGTTGTTCAGGGAGCGCGCAGCGCGTTGATCGCCGGTGTGCTGTATCCCTCGGGCACAGCGGATCACGGAAAGAGCCGAAGATGTCGGCTCGGTCATGTGATCAGCTGTGTCCAATCACAGCTGATCACATGTAAACACGGAAATGCCAGTTATCGGCATTTCTCTCCTCTCGAGCTGTCACGCCAAAAGAAAGCTCTGTCTCAAAAAAATGATAAAAATTTCATAAGGGTACAATGTTGCATGATCGCGCAATTGTCATTCAAAATGTGACAGCGCTGAAAGCTGTTAATTGGCCTGGGCAGGAGGGGTAGAAGTGCCCTTTAGGCAGGAAGGGGGTAGAAGTGCCCTGTAGGCAGGAAGGAGGTAGAAGTGCCCTGTAGGCAGGAAGGGGGTAGAAGTGCCCTGTAGGCAGGAAGGGGGTAGAAGTGCCCTGTAGGCAGGAAGGGGGTAGAAGTGCCCTGTAGGTAGGAAGGGGGTAGAAGTGCCCTGTAGGCAGGAAGGGGGTAGAAGTGCCCTGTAGGCAGGAAGGGGGTATAAGTGCCCTGTAGGCAGGAAGGGGGTAGAAGTGCCCTGTAGGCTGGAAGGGGGCCCTGTAGGCAGGATGGGGTATAGGTGCCCTGTAGGCAGGAAGAGGGTAGAAGTGTCCTGTAGGCAGGAAGAGGGTAGAAGTGTCCTGTAGGCAGGATGGGGTATAGGTGCCCTGTAGGCAGGAAGAGGGTAGAAGTGTCCTGTAGGCAGGAAGAGGGTAGAAGTGTCCTGTAGGCAGGATGGGGTATAGGTGCCCTGTAGGCAGGAAGAGGGGTAGAAGTGTCCTGTAGGCAGGAAGAGGGTAGAAGTGTCCTGTAGGCAGGAAGGGGGTAGAAGTGCCCTGTAGGCAGGAAGGGGGCAGAAGTGCCCTGTAGGCAGGAAGGGGGTAGAAGTGTCCTGTAGGCAGGAAGGGGGTATAAGTGCCCTTTAGGCAGGAAGGGGGTAGAAGTGTCCTGTAGGCAGGAAGGGGGTATAAGTGCCCTTTAGGCAGGAAGGGGGTAGAAGTGCCCTGTAGGCAGGAAGGGGGTAGAAGTGCCCGGTAGGCAGGAAGGGGATAGAAGTGCCCGGTAGGCAAGAAGGGGGTAGAAGTGCCCTGTAGGCAGGAAGGGGGTAGAAGTGCCCTGTAGGCAGGAAGGGGGTAGAAGTGCCCGGTAGGCAGGAAGGGGATAGAAGTGCCCGGTAGGCAAGAAGGGGGTAGAAGTGCCCTGTAGGCAGGAAGGGGGTAGAAGTGCCCTGTAGGCAGGAAGGGGGTAGAAGTGCCCTGTAGGCAGGAAGGGGGTATAAGTGTCCTGTAGGCTAGTGGTTAAAAGATGAATTTGTGGGTTCACTTAGTATTTAACTTTGGAAACAAATAATATAATTAATTATGAGGATATAGGAATATCTTCATTCCACATTTTTTAAACTCAATCAAATCCCGTCGGTGGTACTCGGGTACTTTTGAAATAGCAGGTTTATACAATGACTTTTATTGATGTGCATATCAAGGGGGGAGACAGGGACATTGATGAAATGCATTAAACTCTAATCGTGACTACTTACTTTGCATCCCATAGTAAACCCCCTAATCAATCATTGCATGGAGGTTTACGATGGATAAAGCTATCTCTGGCTATGAGCAATGAATATTCCATATGACTCTCTGAAATATGTCACAGGATGTTTGTGTAGAACTTGATAAATGAATCACATAGTTCCTCTGAAGCCTTCAGGCAGCTCTGCCAGTTACAAAGGAAAAAACATTGAACGGCTAAACAAAAATAAACCCGCTGATTCCCGTGCTGAGAAGATGCAAATCCTCAGATCTGGAGAGGGGTTGAAGAGGAATTTTCGGGATGTGTTTGCATTATTAGCATCATTAGAATATGCACCTAT